AGATTTTCCTAGTCCTCCTTAGTGTTAGCGTCTGCCCTCTGAGATTATCTCCAATTTCCCTGTGTAGATGTAGAGTAGTTAGGTATTGCATTGGAGAGTGCTGGACCTTGCAGTCAGGAAGGCTGGAGTTCAAATGTGGCCTCAGACACTTACTTAGATGTGTGACCCTGGGCAAATGTTTGTCTCTTTCTTTAAATTTATCTGGGCAAGTCTCTTAACCCCTGTTTGCCTCTCTATCCCCATCAGTAAAATGGATGTAATAAAAGCAACTTACCTCCCAGGGTAGTTTTGAGGATCAAATGAGATAATGATTATAAAGTGTTTAGCACAGCGCCTGGCACATAGTAATGCTGTATAAATGTTAGCTATTATTATTATTAATCTTGTTTGTACATAGTTGTTTGTGTAATCTCCCCCATTAGACTGAGCTCCTTGGGAGCAGGTGCTGTGGGTTTTTTGTTTTTGTTTTTGTTTTTGCTTTTCCTTATATTCCTAGGGCTTAGTACAGTGTGTGGCCGTAGTACGGTACTTAATAAATAATGCTGCTTGACTTGACTTAAATGCTGGGAAAGACATGCAAGAAGAATAAGATGCCTAAGAGAGTGCTAAGAGAGAGGGGAGCTCACTAGGGATTAGAGTGGTTGGACAATTCTTGAACTGGTCCTCACGTTTCAGACCCCAAAGGCAAGAGTTCTTTTTATAAAATGCAAAGGAATTCCCAAACCCAAAATAGGATAAGTGACTTCCAGAATGTCTTTTTTTTAAAAATGCCTAGACAGGATAACAGAACCTAACACCATGCAGTTCTTATTAAATTGCTCAGAAGATACGTTATAGCGAATTGGCATCATGGTTTTGGAAGTCAGTCATAGTGGTTATAGAGAAATACCAGCACAGAATGAGAGGCAGGACAAAAACCAGGATGACAGCATATTAGAGAAGCCAGAGCAGGGGGTGGTCTGCATGGTCCATGGCTGCAGAGAGGGCAGCTAACCTTGCTGACAGAGTTAGATTGTAGGGCTTAGAGGAAGCCTTAGGGAAGAAAGGAAGCAGTTAGAAACACTCATTCTAGGAGTTTATAGGCTCTTGGCTCTAGAACTAAAAGGGAGCTCAGAGTCGGAGCTTATCAAGTCCAACTCTCTCCTGTTACAGACTGGGCCCAGAGAGATTTCAATGACTTGCCCAAGGTTCTGTAAGTAGTGAGGAGCAGATCTGAGTTTTTGAAACCAGGTCCTTTGACTCCAAATTAAATGATCTTTCCATTTTCAAAAGTGATCATTGTCAGTAATTCATTTGAGAAAGTGAAAAGTGTCGGGGACTGTAGGTACAGATTTGACATACATTATAAAACTGGCTTGTTCTCTTCAGTTGGATTTGCTGAACTTTTTACCAGTCAATAGCAGTGGGCAGAGACGTTAGTCACTGGGGGCTGGAAGGGTAAAAGAAGGTTTTTGGAGGCTAGGAGTGCCAGAGGGAAGTAGCCAGTGACAGTGGAGAGCTTTCCTTATTAAAAAGAATAGCCAAGGAAGGAGAATGAATATCTTTGCTTCTGCTGCTTGAAGGAAGGAGAGGAGAGTTGAATTGTAGGTTAAAGATGTGTTCAGAGTCACAGTGGTCTCCATGTACTCACTTTGCTTGTGCTCTAGGATGGTTTTGTCCTGGCCTTAAGAGTGGTGGTTGCAACAAAGACCATCACTCCCTGGGTTCTGTGGAGCTGGAGTTGAGGACTACATCAGGCCAAAAGAATATCCTAAAGACACAGTGTCATGCCACTCAAAACAAAACAAAAAACCCCTCTTTCTTGAATAGCTGGCATGGCCTAGGTAGAGGCCAGAGCTGCTGGGAGCTTTCTCTTGCATGCAGCTTGGTGAGAGATGCAGTGTACAGGAGCCAGCCCAATGTTAGCCCCTAGCCATTGGGGATGTGGGTCAGGAATGTCAGTCTAGGAGGATTTGCTTTGGGTGGCAAGAGAGGTTTTAGTTGGGGATCAGGCTGTTTGGAGGTATTCCTGGAGGGGGTTGCCCCTACCATACCTATCCCTTTCCTCCCTTTGTGTTGGGATGTGAGGTTGAGGGCCCCATGTCATCTTGGGGGCAGAGGGGAATCAAATAGCACTGGTGCTGTTTTGCTGACCTCTTGGGCCCTGGTTTAAGCCAGTTTTAGGTGGGAATTTAAGCTGGGGTTCCTGGCAGAAACCACCCCTGCCTCCCCCTTAGTCAGTGGGCTAATGGAGGGAATTATACTGAGCTCATTCCTTTTTTTTTTTATTAGGCAATTGGGGTTAAGTGACTTGCCCAGGGTCACACAGCTAGCTAGTGTCAAGTGTTTGATCTGAGGCCAGATTTAAACTCAGGTCCTCCTGACTCCCAAGGCCAGTGCTCTATACACTGCACCACCTAGCTGCCCCAGCTGAGCTCATTCCTACAATGATGCTTAGTCGTAGTGAGAGGGTTGTAGTTCAGGTTTTAGTGCTCAGTCTTCCATGGACCAGGAGTATCTGGCATACAGTAAGATCTTAATAAATACTTATTAAACTGAAAGAGAGAGCTTGGCATTTCTGAAAGATCTCTGGATGTAGAATCTAGGTGGGTGATATTGTAAGTCATGGTAGACCTACAAGGGCCCCTCCCTGCCTTCTACCTCTGCCTCTCCTCACAATTGCTCATCTGTAAAATGGAGATAGTAATTATACTACCTACCTCTTCAGGATTGTTGAGGGGAAAATGCTTTGTACCTGTGAAAATGTTATAGAATTTGGAGATGGTATTTATTATTGCTGTCTTCCCATCAGCTTACCCTATCTTTCTCCTCTTCCCTTCTCTCCCTTTCCATCAGCCTTTAATACTTCCTCCATTACTCATGGAATTCACTGAAGTCTGAGTAGGGGGTGGGTGAGGTGGGTGGATAGGTGGTCTAGGTAGCATGGCTAGTAGCAAGCGGGTCAGCCAGTCTGGGAAGTGACTCATAAGAAACAGGTAGATTGGGGTGGGGGAGGTGCAGATTAAATCTTTGAACCCATAAGGTGCCTTCTCCCTAAACATCAGCAACTCCCAGACTTAGGCTTCCTGGAGAAATGGGGGGTCAGTGGAAATCACTAGAGATCCAAGCTGGATGCATTTCTGGTTTCTTCCCTCTAGTCAATTAGGTCTCCCTAGCCCATAAAACTGCCTTCTAATTAACCAGGTATGAAGGTTTATGTATGGTTGATTAGCAGAGCAATTTGTAATAATTTCTCCCCCAAGAATTGCTAATTGAATTTTTTGAGACTCCCCTCATTTGCCCAGTCCGTAGCCTCGGGTTTTTCCAGGCTCAATGGGTGATGAGATTGTCTTCAAAATCAATGTGATCAAATGAGATACTGTATGTAAATACTTTAAGTGCTACATGTCAGCTCTTATTATCATTCCTTTTAACCAACTCTTGTTGCCTCCTCAATGTTCTCTGTCCCCGTCTTAGTACCATCCTCTTGTCCTCCTCCACCTTTGGGGATACTTGGTATCTCCTGGGTAAGGGCGATTATTATCTGGGTCTCTCCATAGGCTTCTGACTGATGTTCTGGCCACTCACCAAAGTTGTGCTGAGGGAACTGGAGACCTGAGATCTAATAGCTCCTCTTGAGATAAATGTGTGTATTCTTGCGGACCTTAGTTTCTTTCTCTGGAAAATGAAGAGATTTGGGCTGAATTAGAGGCTCTTAACCTTTTTTTCCCCCCTGTCCTGGACCCTTTTAACAATCTGCTGAAGTCTATGGACTTCTTCTTAGAGTAAGGTTTTTAAATGCATAAAATAAAAAATATAGATTACAAAAGAAAAAATGATTATAGTGGAATACAGTTATCAGAATATATGTTTTTAAATTTTTAAATTAACTCATTTTAAACTTAAGTACAAGATAAAGGGGGGAAGAGCATTGTCATGTGCATAGCAGAATGTAAGCAGTAAATTTCCATTTTAAGAAAGCCAATATAATAAATACTACACATTGTGTCCAGAGCTGCCCATCTTTTCTTTGTTTTCTTGTAAATTCTTTTTGTTTTCTGCTGTGCACTTTTTACTTTGTTCTTTTTTCCCCCCTTCCTTTCTACCCTCCACCCCAGGCTACAATTAAGCAAAGATATATTTGTGTACACACACATGCATACATATGCACACAAACACATACATACACAGCCATATATTTATGTACATACACTTACATATACGTACATATACTTAGATGTCTATAATCATACTTATAAATAGATATATACGTTCATATGCATCTGTGTAAGACTGGATTATACTTGTTTGTCCTCTGTTTCTTAGAGGATGGATAACAAAAATATGTATTTTTTAAAAGTAGCTCCAAGTTAACCCTATGGACTACATGATCCCTAAGGTTCCTTCTAGCTCTAGCATTCTAGGATTCTAAGAGCTGGTAGAGCAGGCTGCACGAGGCCCACAATCCCTTTGGGAAATTACTGCATCTGGGGCCCAGAAAGTGGTTTAGCCAGGTCCATGGCATAGTAACGATGTAGCCCAAAGGCTTAGCTTAAGAAGGGCAGTGTGCGGTTTCTCTGTTCCCACATGGTCCATTTTCGGGGCTTGGGGCCCTATTGTTGACTGTCAGGTATCATATTTCTTCCTACTATGGAAACTACTTCTCTGGTGGCAGCCTCAGCTTAGCTCTGGAGAGGTGGGCAGGGTTCCCATGACTTCCCCCCCACAATGGGATTAGTTTGATACCCTCTCTCCCTCCCACCTAGACCCTCCATTCTCCTGTAATCCTTCCTTTCCCGTTCAAGCACATCTTTTAATGCCTGGGCCTGGATACTGGGGGCCAGGATCCCCAGGTTCCAGGCCTGTTTTTCCACTTGGTGCCTCAGCTTCTCCCTCTTGTCATCCAGGGAGGTTTGCCCCTGAGCTTTGCTCAGCCTCATTGTGTGAGGACTTTGACATCCTGGGTGGAGGGAAGGGGGGCTTCCCCCATCCCTCCTCAAGCTGCTACCATCATGGCTCAGACCCTGCAGATGGAGATCCCCAACTTTGGCAACAGTATCCTGGAATGCTTGAATGAGCAGCGGCTGCAGGGTCTCTACTGTGATGTGTCAGTGGTGGTAAAAGGCCATGCTTTCAAGGCCCACCGTGCTGTTCTGGCTGCCAGCAGCTCCTATTTCCGGGACCTTTTCAACAGCAGCAAGAGTGCAGTGGTGGAACTGCCTGCCGCTGTGCAGCCCCAGTCCTTCCAACAGATCCTTAGCTTCTGCTATACTGGCCGCCTCAGCATGAATGTAGGTGACCAGTTCCTCCTCATGTACACTGCTGGCTTCCTCCAGATCCAGGAGATCATGGAGAAGGGCACAGAATTTTTCCTCAAGGTGAGCTCGCCCAGCTGTGACTCACAGGGCCTACACGTGGAGGAAACACCCTCGTCAGAGCCTCAGAGTCCCGTAGCCCAGACCTCCAGCTGGCCAGCTTGCAGCGCTCCACTCCCCCTTGTCTCTCGCGTCAAGACTGAGCAGCAAGAGTCAGACTCAGTTCAGTGCATGCCTGTAGCCAAGAGGTTATGGGACAGTGGCCAGAAAGAGGGTGGCAGCAATGGCAGCCGCAAAATGGCCAAGTTCTCAAACCCAGACCTAGGAGGGAACCGGTCCCAGCAGCCACAGCCCCTGGCACAGCAGCCTCAGCAGCAGCAGCAGGTGCCCCAAGGCATGGCACCAACCCCAGTGCCCGCAGGGGCAGCGGGTATGGGGAGCAGGCCCAGCACATCAGAACGGACCAGTCCTGGGACATCCAGCGCCTACACTAGTGATAGCCCCAGTTCCTACCACAATGAGGAGGATGAGGAGGAGGATGCAGGGGAGGAGGGCTCCGATGAGCAGTACCGCCAGATCTGCAACATGTACACCATGTACAGCATGATGAATGTAGGCCAGACAGGTGAGTGGAGCCCCGTGGGGCGAGGGAGGGAGGGGCTTAGCCCCGGGGAGGCCCTACAGCCCCCATCGGCACTCCCCTCCCCTCCCCTCCCCACTCTCTCCCCAGCCGAAAAGGTGGAGGCCCTGCCAGAGCAAGTGGTCTCCGAGTCCCGCAACCGAATCCGGGTGCGGCAAGACCTGGCCTCACTGCCAGCTGAGCTCATCAACCAGATAGGCAATCGATGCCACCCAAAGCTCTACGACGAGGGTGATCCTGCTGAGAAGCTGGAGCTTGTAACAGGTGGGCCTGGGAGTCTGAGAGAGGGCCTGCCTTGCTGTGCATTCAGTCACTGGGGGGGGGGGGGGGATGGAAGGCTGAACAAGGCCACCAGGGCTTCTGATCTTGAAGTCACAGTTTAGGAGGAGATAGAACATGTGCCTAAAACTTTACATGAGTGGTTAAGTGAGTGATACAGTCAGCAAGTACTTAGGACTTTGGGATGGCTGGAAAAGTCAGGAAAGGCTAGAGAAAGCAGGACTTGAGCAGGCCTTTAATGTAAGACGGATATGACTTGGGAGAGCATTTCCAGGCTAGGGGAACCAGCTAGACTAGGTGGGGATCTATGAGGAGGAGCTGGACTGGGCTTGAACAGGAGCAGGAGCAGTTAAGCTTTCATGTCTCCTGAAATCTCTTCTAGTCCTAGTTACTTCTCCCAGCTCCATTTTGTTATCTTGGCCCCTTAACTGTCATTGTGTATGTCCTCAATATGGCCAAGCTCCAGCCAGGAGTGGGTGGGGTTAAGATAGCTAAGTGGGTTTTTGTGGGTTGGCTATTGGTCCAGAGGGATGAGCGTTTGGGTGATCTTCCTGGCCTTTACTCAGTATGCAAATCTTCCCCCCTCCCCTTTACCAGGCACCAATGTATACATCACAAGGGCACAACTCATGAACTGTCACGTCAGTGCGGGTACAAGGCACAAAGTCCTCCTTCGTCGGCTCCTTGCCTCCTTTTTTGACAGGTGAGCCCTAGTATTCCCTTCATTTAAAACCAGTAAGCATGTGTTGATGCCTTCTGTGCATCCAAGGTGTTCTGGGACCTAGCCTGAGGGCCCCATGAAACTTGGCTATGATTTAGTCCCTTCGTGCCCCTCTGGAGTAAAGGGCTCAATGTCCTCTCTTGACCTGGGCTGGCCAGGCTAAGGGTCCCATGGGGTTCAGCTCTGGTCCCACTTCTCCTTCCAGGAACACTCTGGCCAACAGTTGTGGCACAGGCATCCGATCTTCCACCAATGACCCTAGACGAAAACCCTTGGACAGCCGGGTCCTCCATGCTGTCAAGTGTAAGGACTGGGGCATGTTGGGGAGGGAGGGAGTCCAGGGCTTGGGAAGTATGGAGCCAGTCCCCTGGAGGGACATGGGGCTGGTTCAGCTGTATTCATTCATTGAGAAAATACTTTAAGTGCCATTTTGGTGCTTAGCACGTTTCTGTGTGAGGAAGGCAGAATGAGCTATGGTCCTTAAGACTTCCCTTCCCTCCTCTCCCTTCATCTCTCCCCAAGTCTACTGCCAGAACTTCGCCCCCAACTTTAAGGAGAGTGAGATGAATGCCATCGCAGCGGACATGTGCACCAATGCCCGAAGGGTAGTGCGTAAGAGCTGGATGCCCAAGCGGAAGCCACTCGTGGCTGAGGGCGATACATACACGACCTTCATCGATGACACAGGCAGGATAGAGCCTGACTTGATGGGTGTGGAGCACGGCTTTGAGACGGCCAGCCATGATGGTGATGCTGGACCCTCAGCCGAAGCCCTCCAATAACCTTTCCCCTGCCCTGCCCGGCCTGGCCTCTCCTGGCCTGCACCCCCATTCTCCTCTCCCTCTTCCCCAACCGCAGGCTGCCCTTTGGCAAGGGTTCCCTCTGCCTTTCACTTTGGACTTTGTTTATTCTTTGGTTAATGTTCCCCGCCCCCCCCCCCCGTTCTTGGTCCGGTTTGCCAGAGGGGAAGTGTGATCACTGCACGCTGCTGTCTGTCCCATTCTCCCCTCACCTGAAAACAGCGCCACTTCTTTCCCACGGGGCACAAGGCACCAAGGAGCAGAAATCCAGGTGGTCTGTGTGGTCCTGTGGGGTGGGCTGAAGTGGGAGGTCTCACTGGTCTCCTCCTATCCTGTTCCCCATTTCATGACAGGCACTGAGAGTGGCTGGGAGAGTGTCAAACATGGTTTTGTTTCCTTTACTTTTTTTTAAACACACACTCAGAATGATCTAACTATATATATATATATAAAGAGAGAAATCTATAGACCTAGAAATAATATATATATTATAAAAATATTTACCAGGAAAGGAAAAGCATGTTCGTCCTACAAGCAAGAGAAAATGAGTAACAGACTGCCTCTCAGTGGCAAACACTCCCCCTCTCACCCCCCAAGTCAGTGCCCCAGTGGTATCTTCAGGAGTGGGCACTGGAGATTTGGACGAGGCCAGAGTCAGCCTCTGGCTGTCTTTATACTTTGTTCTTCCAGGCCTCCAGTCTGCGTTTCTGCCCTTTTTCCTCCTCTTTCACAGAGCCTCTGGCTTTTTTCATCTTCATTCTTAGCCTACTTTTCCAAAACACCTTCTGATCTATTTAATTTTGTTATTGGGACATCCTGTGGGATAGTAAGGGCAACTGGTAGTAACTCCATTTAACAGAGAGTAAATGGAGGTGTTCCCTGACTTTCCACCCCCCTTTCCCCACCCAGGGAAATTAGATCTGCCCAATGTCACAGCAAGGGAGTGGTGGGGTGTGGGCTAGAAAGTAGTCCTAGAGACAGTTCTTAGTTATGAGCTTTCTTCTACCAGATTCCTGCTGCTTTGGATCTTTAACCTATTTTGGTTCTTTCTAGAGGAAGGAACAGGCAGTGAATCGGGGCACTATTTGGGGGAAGGGTGTGGTGTGTGTGTGTGTGTGTGTGTGTGTGTGAGAGAGAGAGAGATTTGCTTGAGTGCACATGTGTATGCATGTATTTCAGTGTAAGTGAAAGAGATTGAAGTTCACTTGGGTGTGTGTGTGTTCGCTAGGGTAGGAATGATTCGAATGGTTTTGCTCTGGCAAACACCAGACTTGTTTTCTCAAGAATTGTTTCTTGGGGGAATGGTGGAGCAGGAGGCTGGGAGGGGTTCACACTGAAGTTGGACCCCTTCCCTTTTGTGTACATGAACCTGTCCTGAGAGCTGGGGCCCATGGGGCTGTCCTCCACGTCTTTCCTCTATCCGTACCTTTCCTCTGCCCCTGTTTCTGAAGCCCTGTGTACAGACTTTTAAAAAATACCTTTTGTAGCAAGTGTTAAGTTCTTTGGAAATATCAAGATCCTTAGAGTTTCCAAACCAATACAAATGTGACTCTTCACCTTCCACCCCACCATGTCCTCTACCTCCCAGCCTGGAGGCCTGGTAGGCTTAATTGGCTACTGGGATCTAGAAGGTATTGGGGGAACCAGGGTGGGTAGAAATCTATCCACATACTATGGGCTTTGTTGGTTTTTCTTGTAACGTGCCCTTCTCCCCTTTATGGTCCTCATTTCTGCTAGTCCATGGCTTTCCCTCTGAGACTCTGGCATGTCCAGCTTGGGCAGGCCCAACTAGGGGGTTAGTTCTCATTGTTAATTATTTTGAATAAGCTGATTTGTGGCTATTCCTTTTCCTTAATGAATAAGGATATTTTCTAGTTTGTTATATGTGAACATGGATTTTTTTTTGGTGGGGGGGTGCATCTTTATTTCATTTTTATTTGTCTCCCTTGTCTCTTCTTCCCCGTCTTTTCCCCTTTTGTTCCTCACAGACTCTCAGAGCCTGGGTGACCTCTCTCCCAAAGAGTTAGGGTGCTTATGCCTTTTGGCCAAATCCCATGCTCTTTCTGAACCTCTCATTTGTTCAGAAATTTAGAGGTGGAGGGGAGGGACTATAGGGGTCATCTGATTCAGTTGAGGTCCCTAGAAGTTACATGACTTCCCCCAGGCATGGCTAGGATGAGAAGCTGATTCCCAGTTTCATATTATTTTCTCTCCACCCCACTGTCTCTGCTGGGTCTGGGCACAGGGCAGGTGCACCTGAGGGTACCTGCTGAGTTACTTCTACCTCCTCTCCAGACTTCATTGGAGTGATGCCACATGATCAGTGATGGGTTTGGGGGAAGAGCAGAAACTTGTTTGACCTCTCAGGATCCTAGCTTTGTCAGCAGCTCTGTCCATCACCACCTTGGGTGCATCTCTTTTTCCTCCTTAGCTAATGAGTCATAAGTATTTATTTACTTACTTACCATTTGTCAGGTACAGACCTAAGAGCTGGAGACAGAAAGACAAAACAGTCCCTGCCTCATAAGGAGTTTACTTTCTAATGTAAATAATTCTTGGGCTTCTCTCTGCTTTATATTCCTTAGAGGAGGCAAAGTAAGAGCTGCCTGAGAGTCTGAATGGCTGGACACTGTTCCTTAATCTCCCCTGGGCTTTCTGGGTGTGAATCATTCTTTTTGGAAATGCCTAGTGCTATAGTTTGGGATGAAACCAGGTGGTGGCCCTGACCTTATTTTTCCTGCTATTTTTGGATAGGGGTCCGCTTGCAGGCAGTGGGAGAGATTACTTACCCTTCTTATCCTCTGACTGTGTTTTCTGCTTTCCAAGGACCTTGAGCAGGGCCCAGCATGCCCCACAGTGCTATCCACTAGGGTAGCTGCAATGTCTGGTTCTAGAGAACCTGGCAAGCAGTAGTGGTGGTGGGGGACATGCACTTTGAAGGAGCTCCCATCCCTGGGTCCTCAAGACTTTGGCACAGTGTCCCTAGGAGAGAGCCCCTGGCTCAGTAAGAGAGGTTGCCGGTTACCTTTTGAAGAGGCCATTTGAGGAAAATATACCCCCTTCCCTACTTCCTGAAGCTAGCCTATTTCTGTCCGTCTGATCTTTCCCAACCCCTCAGGATAAATCCTTCTTTTTAAATGACTACTCAGTGTAGGCTAAGAGAGAGAGAGGGAGCAAATTCCCCCACCCCAGCTGTGTACCCCCCAGTACCAGAGTCCTCTTGTGCTACATTATGTATGTCCACTTCTCAGTCACTTTCCTAAGCCCCTGGGGAGGGACACGAGACCTTTCTTCCCCGAATATACAAGCACCTTATCTGCCCTGCCACCCCCAAACTGTCCTAATTCCTCTTCCCCAAATCTCCCAAAGCACAAGGCCCCTCAAGGTGTTCTCCTAGCTAGGGTCACCTATGAGGTTCTGGGACCAAATTGGGGAAGGAGAGATCAGTAAGGAGGGGAGGCAGAGTGGGAGCCCCTTCTCACCTTGGTGCCCAGGGTAGGGAGGAAGGACAGTATGTGTATCCCTTATGTATTGTGGCCCCTAAATCCAGCTGTGAACTATGTAGCCTGTGGAGCTGCCTGTCATATTAACAAGGGTTGAGAGGAGGAGAGCAGAGCACTGGGGCAGGGCCAGAGTTGAAATTTAAAATTGGGTTGTCTACCAGCCACCCTTCAGCACATTCCTAGCCCCTGGTCCAGCTTAGGCTCTGGAGCCTTTTGCCCCCAATACGAGCAGTGAGTGGGTGAAATTCAGCCACACTGGGCCTGAGCTTTCATGCAGCCTGAGTTGTGATGGTTATTTCAGAGTGTCTTGCTTTGCTTCCCTCCCCCTGCCCCCCCTTTCTGCAACCCTTATTGGACCCCAGGTTCCTCCTTCCCTTTAGGCTTTGGCCTCTACTTCCAGGAAAAAATTCACCAGGATCTCCTACTTTATACACCTGGAAGCTCGAGGGGGAGGTGTCATTTAGCAATAAAGGAGGCAGCTGGGTGGGGGGAATATGGAGAGAGGAGAGACTTCTGGATTTCCAAATTCCATGGTTGTAAGCAGATGTTTGTGCCATGATTGTGAGAACCATAGACTTGGAGCTGAAAAGGACCTAGGAATCATCTTGTCCAGGCCCTAATTGTACAGATGCCAAAAGGTGCAGAGAGCCTGGAATGGGCCTGAGGGATTGTGCTGAAGTGGGCTGGGGAGGTGGGGCAGGGGAGTCAGCTTCTCCCAGGAGAGCCAAAGACAAGGGTTGTGCCTTACCAAAGGGGGGCTGCCCCCCTCTCCCCCACCCCCCCACCCCCAGGGTCCTGCTCTTCACTTTCCTTTCTCAAACATCCCTCATCTGATTCCCCACCCATTCACCTTTCTGCTGAGCTGCATGGCCCAGGAATGCTGGGTGCTTTCTGCTGATGCTGCAGCTGTTTCTTCATCAACCACCCCCAGAAGTCAGGTCCAGAATCAAGTTTTCCACAAAAAAGGAAGAAAAAAAAAGAAAAAGGAAAAAAAAAATTCCCCCAGACCCTGGGGCTGCCAGGATTTGTCTGTGTGAAGTGCCAATGACCTTGTGACCTTCAGAAAACACACACAAGGCTCCCCAGCCCCCAGCCTGCCTCACCCCCTGTGACCCCAGTAATGAGGCTTGCACATTAACTACTGTAAAGAGGAGCAGAGCTGGAGAAATGTGAATAATGGGAATAATACTGATAAGAATAAACAATGGCATTTGTAACTAAAGTTTCCACTTATTTACTTGAGGGGGAGGAAGAGGTTGCTTTCATACTCAGACCCTATCTTTCCTGCCCTTCAAAAGGCATAGAGGAAACATACAGGATCCAGATCATACCTCAGAGTAACCTGTCTTTCCCTTTTTGGGCTGAATTTCCTCCCCAGCCTCCAGAAGCCAGACAGACAAGCTTGTGGCTATCATTTAAGAAGTTGGATTTTTATTTCAAAATTGATATCTAGAAGGTGCTTCAGGACTACATGGCTTCAACTAAGTGCACATGGGGCAGAAACTGGTCTTTTGCCCAGCCCAAGGTTAGGGGCATTGTGCCTGTGGCATAGAACATGGGTAAAATTGGAGGTGAGGGAGAGGAAATTGAACTCCCCTTCCCCCCCAAGTATCTTCCTGCCACTCTTGACTAGTTTAGACCTCTAGGCAAAGCTCTGTAAAGTGCAATTATCCTGCTCCCTCATGGCCCAACTCTGAGCCCTCCTCTTTCCCCTGCCCCTATTGGGGAGTCCTAGGGGTCATAGGGAAAAGAGCAGTTGGAGCCTCACAAGGATCACAATGAGCAGGAAGAAGATGACATACCATTGTTTTTGGTGCGGGGGACACAGAGCAGGTAGCCCCCGAAAGAGAACAGAAAGGGGACCCAAGGCCTGAGTCCTCTTCCTCCCATCTACCCCTGAAGAGCAGGTCTTAAGATTGGCTTCTAGGGTGTTTCTCTCTCTCTGGGGCTGGGCCAGGACTCACTGCTGGTCATATGGGATACCTTGGCCAATTTATTGAGTTCATCCATCCCAGGGACTGAGTATCATCCATTTCTTGGGGGAAGTCATCCAGAATGCTGTGTGCCACAGTCACATTACCCCAAGAGACTTATCTCCTAGCTTTGGTTGTAGGGGACTTGCAGTGGACAGGCCTCAGCTCCCCCAAGGGGCACCACTCATGTTCTGCTCATCTAGCTCTTGGACAACCTGGCCTGATAAGTTTCAGGACTTGGATACTGCCAGCTACAATCTCCAGCTGCTGAGCATGACAAGAGTGGGGAGGCATTGGTTCATTGGGTCAGTAACCTCGCTTCCTTCTCAGGGCCCCAGCAGCTGTCGAAGCGCCTAGGCCAGCTCACCCCTTTCTCTTCTTTATTGCTGTGTGGCCTGCTGTTGCTCAATGTGTCAATAGCTGTGTGAACGTATCTAGAATTGGCTGAGATGTGTGTCCAACTGGTCATAGTGGTTAGTATCTAGGTTTGGAGGGGCTGTCCTGCCCATCAACATCTAGAGGGAGGACCAACAACCAGAGATACATGCAGAGGTGGGCATATACTCAGAAGTATTAGCTACATCCCCCCCCCCAGCTGTAACATTTACTGAGGCAAGACACATCTTAGCCTCAGTTTTCTCATCTATAAAATAGATATAACAATACTTGTATTACCTAACAGGTGTTGTGAGAAAAGAGCTTTTTGTAAACCATGGAGCATTATTGAAATGAGTAATTATAAATAATGAAGGGGCAGGCAAGGATCCCTGGCAGTAGAGCTGCTGATGAGGGGAGGCAGGGCTGTGCATTTGTTACCTCCGTTTTTCTTCTCAATGAAAGCTGTAGCTTTTAGGCGGGCAATATGGGGAGGGATACATAAGCATCTCTTCTTAAGCTACTTTTAGTCAAGAATCACCTGAAGTGCCTCTTATGGCCTGGGGGGAGGGGGGGACAACCCCAATCATGTAAGGGCCAAACCTTGAATTTTCCAGGGTTGGACCCTATATGGGTAGGTAGAGTCAAGGGCCAGTTTAAGATGGAGAAAGATGTCCCCCATGGGTATCAGGTATCCTTTAGTCTTTTCCTCTTCCCTTGGAAATAAGGGTAAGTGGTCTAGGGTGATATCTTCCGTGGCTTAGCAGATGCCCTCCCCAGTTTTCTCTCTGGTACTCCTCTATCACTCCATATATAGACTGTGTCCCCTAAGGCTCCCCAAGCTACCCTTCCTCCAGGACAGTATCTCCTACTCCCCTCTCTTATCACTACCCCTACCTAGCTAGACCAGCAGTTCTCAAAATGTGAAGTGGCCCTTGAGATCCTTTCTGGGAATCCTTGATGTCAAAACAATTTTCATAACACACTTTAATTTCTAATACAATTAATCTAGATAGAACCTAAATACACAGATTTTGGGGAAATCAATAATTTTTGAGTTTACTGGGGTCCCTAAGCTATATGGGCTTTAGATGCTCATATAACCGTTATGTACATGATAGCTACCATTTACATGGCATGCTTTGCATATTATTTCATTTGTTCTTCACAACAACCCTCTGAAGTGCTATTGTCCCCATTTTAGATATGAAGAAACTAAGGCACAAATGGTTAAGTCTCTTGCCAGGGTCATACTGCTAGTTAAGTGTCCGACACTGGATTCGGTGACACATCTTCCTCCAAATCCAGCACTCTGCCCTCATTAGCATCTGGTTCTTCCACCTTCCATCTTCTCAACCAGATAGGATACCAAGTCTCATCCAGGTCGTATTCAATGCCCCAAAGGCTGTAGGGCAGCTCATTGGTGGTCCAGTCGAACTCTTGCTGACCGCTACCTAAGCCTCCTGAAGGAGGTCACACCATCGCTGGTACAGCCCCTGGGAGGTGTTCGCAGCCTTCTGCACCTTCCTGGTAGTCGGTGAAGAGGGAAATCAGGGCCATCTCCTGGCACCCCTCCCCACCCTCCCCCCATTATCTGCATTTGCTAGGCGGGGTCTGGTGCCTTGCCAAGTCCGACCCCCCCCCCGTACCTCCCCCTTCTTCTGGGGCCCAGCAGGGTACCCTCACTACGCCCTGGAGGGAACAGGGAACAGGGGCGGTGAAGAAGAATCCCACCTCTACGCCCCACCCCCAACCCCTGCTGCTCCCGAGATTGCTGCTCCAGCTTCGGCACCGCCAACTCCACGCTCACTTTAGGACCACGAAACAAAGACTTTCAGAGATATACTTCCTCAAGTATGCACGCCCTGCCCCGCACCCTAACCCCCGGAGAGAACGCAGGCTGTGCCCCCGGCACGCAATCCCCAAGGCACCTACGAGACGCATCCCACGCAATGGGAGAGGGGGAGGAGAGGTCCCGGGAGCTCGAACACAGAGACTTCCGCCCTCTCTGTGGCCTCACCGGCGCCTCACCTCCCTTCCCCGTCCCTGGCCACCATCTTGGTTAGGGGCAGAGCTGGCTTCTTACCCTCCAGATAGCTGTCCGCGACCCCTTCTCTTTTTCCGCCAATGGTCTTGGCATCTGCCAGGAGTGGGGGCGCGAAGTAGTCGGGGCGTCATAATCTCTTTCTTGGGTGGGCTTTGGCCTGGGGAAGGGGCTGAATGCTAACTTTCCGACGGGGAACGCGGGGGCTTCTCTTTTGGTATGCTGGTCCTGGGCAGTAGGGGGAAATGCGTGGGTGGTGTGGTGGTGGTGGTGGTGGTGGTGGTGGTGGTGGTGGTGGGGTGTGTGTGTGTGTGTGTGTGTGTGTGTACGTACGTACACACAGCTGTAACGCTGGAAGGCAGCATCTTCAAACCTCCCCAAACCTCCCCCGGTGCCCTCCCTGTCAGATCAGGTGAAGAAGCATTGATTAAGTGCCCACTACGTTCCAGGCACCATGCTAAAGGCTGAGGATACAAAGAAATTCAAAAGCCGGTCCCTGCCCTCAAGAAACGTACAAACAAGGTATATTATATTCCCAGGGCTGGGAGTGTGCTAAGCAAAGAAGCCCAGATTAAGGAGTTCCTTCCTGTCTTCCTGCCAGCGAGCTCCAGAAATCAAGAGGGCAGAGTATGGAGCTTTTTAGTTCTGCATCACATCCTTCCCGTACCCCAATCTTTGCCAAATCGCTCCTAACCCTCAAATCCTCGGGAAGCACTGGTACCACCTATTACTACACGTACCAGCTCTCCGCTCCCCTCCGTACATGGCGGGCTCTAGTTCCTCCACTCATCTCGTTGACCCGTGGCCACGAGCCATCTTCCTGAGCTGCAGAGGTTTGAAAGGAAATGGATTTGGAGATTTATAGACCAACGGGCAGCCTAAGCGACTCCCTTTTGCGCCGCGTCCACGGGTCAGGTACCACAGTACAAGAGGGTGGCAGAGGTGGTGATGGAAACCAGCCCCGGGCTTCGGAGGGAAGGCGGGAAGAGAGGAAGGGGCGGGGGTGAGACCACCAACTTCTCACGGGCCTCGAGCCGAACACCTACTTTAGGAAGGTAGAGTGGAGGAAAGATTACAAAGGGACAGGGGGAGAGGAAGGGTTGGCAGGGCCAGAATGCAGGGGCAGTCACTTCCAAGAAAAGTGGAGAGCAATCTCCAGGAGAACGACCGCGAGAGATATCAGAACACCAGTCAAGTCAACAAGCATTTATTAAACATTTACAAACAGGCATCTGGGGTCTACAAGGAATACAAACACAAGGAGAACAAACACGAGGAGAAAGATAATCCGAACCTTCAAGGAATTTATATTCTAATGGAGAGAGATAATGCATTAAAAAAAAAGCTTGAAAGGGGTGGGGTAAGTTACCCACGTGGGGGCGCGGTGGAAGAAGATCCAGAGTCCCGCGTGGAGTCTGGAGCGAAATGAAAACCAAACGCAGAGAAAGTGGGTACGGAACCCCTAACTCTTGCTAGTTACAACAACTTCGAACAATTTCCTTCCCCAGTCTTCAGTTTTCCTATCTGTAAAAGGATCTGTAAGTTCCAGCTCTAAATCCGATCCTTCCTAAATAACCTTCCTTCCTCCTGGAGGATGGTCCGCTCCGAGGCCCAGGATTGGAGTTCCGGAAGGAGGCTTCCCATTCACTGACCCTAAGATTCCGGGCCTCTGCCCTTATTTGGGCAAGAGGAAGCAGCGCAGGCACCCAGCGAACGGTCCCTGGGCCGCCGGACGTCACGGTTACCTAATATAGTCATGGAAACGAAAACTAGTGGCGGGAATGCACCAAAGCCTCACAAGAGGCGGGGCCTTCTCTTAAAGGGACCAGACTTAGGGAAGTCGGGGCTATGGTTGAAACTCCTTACTTTTTCCACAAGTTACTCGCACCCTCTTTCCTTTTGGGAAAGCAGAATCACGGAGCTGCACGGGCATGGGAAGCAGGAGTGAATCTGTGATATATCACTTTTAATATTTGTAACTAGTTCTCTGCCCCCTTTCTCCTCTTTTCCCCCCAGCCTCGAAGCGAGCTTTGGTGGCTTTGCGGAATTGCTAGTTTTGTGAGAAAGACCCCAGGCTCCTCCAGATGCTTTGACAAACACTGATCACTTTTGCAAGGTGATAGGGGGGAGCTTGTCTCGGCCCCACTACGGCACCAAGGTACGAGCTGGAAGTGGTGACATTATCGTGCCTTCATTCGCGCGGCCTGTCTCTGAGCCGTTGACTGCAAGGTTGACTCGAGATATCTCGCACCACGCGCTTGAGGGGCTCTTTCCCTCCCCCCAGTTTCACACCGAGCTCGGGAACAATATGCGCCCAACTTCTGGAAGAAGAAAATTCCTAGGGGAAGGGTGAGAGGAGTTTCTCCCCACCCCAACTCTGTCCAGTCCAGGCTCTTCCAGCCTTCTTCCCCTCCCCCACTCTCCTTGGGGCTTTGAATTAGGTCCGGCATTTCCGTCCTGTGGCTTTAAAGGGCCTCTGGTGGCGGGTCGAAAAGCCGGGATGCGGCTTTCTGATTGGGTGGAGCGGCTCCTCAGTGACGCAACTAGAAGTATAAAGAGCTCGGTCTCGGGCCGGGTTTGCCTCATTTGTGTACACGGTTTCGACCCTTTCGGCAACTTAAAGAAAAATCTATCTCCAGTTTGAGGTGGGCGTCACAGGGAATCGGGGGTGAGAGCAAGCGAAGAAAAGGGCGAAATCCCTCTTGCTGCTCACATCTGTTACTGGGCTTTGCCCAACGGTCATCCCCCCAGCCCGCCCACTAATCTACCCTCCTATCTCTTTCTTCCGTTGCTGCGCCTGGGTCCCGGCATGGAAGCACAGAAGGAAGCGCAGCGTATTATGACCATGTCAGTGTGGAAGATGTACCATTCACGCATGCAGCGCGGCGGCTTGAGGTTGCACCGGAGCCTTCAGCTATCGCTGGTCATGCGGAGCGCCAGGGAGCTCTACCTCTCCGCCAAGGTAGAAACAGACGAGGCAGAGCTATCGCCCTTCCCGGCCGCGGCCCTGGCTCCCGCCCCGAACCTGCCCCAGCCCATGACCGTAGCTGAAGCCGAAGATGCCTCTTTGCAAGTGTCTGAAGAGGCGATCCCGGCCCCAGAGCCCATGGAAACTCAGGAAGCTAGGGAGAACGAGCCGGCGCCCGCCTGCAGCTGCTTGCCTCCGGTGCGCAATGCTACTCTGTCTCAGCGCTCGATGAAACCCAATCGCAAGCGGCGGAGCAGTAGCTTGGGCCAGGGTGGGGAAGCCGGGCTGGTCCCCAGCAAGAAAGCAAGGTTGGAGGAAGAGACGGCGCCGACTGAAGGGAAGACTGAGGTTGAGGCTGAAGACCTGGAGAGGCGGCAGTCGCAGGTGGAGGAGGGCCCCTTCCCTAGTCTGGCCCGAGTTTTACAGAAGCGCTTCTCCGGCATTCTGAGTAACACCGCGGGGCCGCCAAAGCCCACTGCCCCGCCTCCCTCGTGTGAACTCCAGCCTGGTTGCCGCCAGGCAGACCACATGATAAACATCTTGGTGCGGACAGTCGTGGCTTTCTAACGTGAGCCCTGAACTCCGGACTGTGCCCGTAGCTTTAGCTGGCCCGAGTTGTGTCGAGGCCGCTGTCCAGCCCCGAGCGACCTGGGGCCTTAGGCTTTGGTCGTCCACCTCCCGGAGAGGAAGACTGACCTCGCTCCTGTCCTTCCCCAGGCGCTGGTGACGGCTTTGGTGGCAGAGGGGAGTGGTGGTGGGGAGGACGAGAGAGAAGCTGCTGATCTGGAGAATTTGCTCCATAATGCTGCTAAGAGACTGGTCCGAGAGGAGAAGATGGGACGCTTTTTCTGACCTCGGTAGTCACCCTCCAGGCTGGGGCGGAAGGGACCGTGGCATCAGACTTTATGGATGCCAGTGAAGCCAGCCAAGCATCCAGACTTCAGAGACTCGTGGAGACGCTGGTGGTCTTGCCTTTAAGTGACCTGCCTCAGACCTTTCTATTGGAAAGCGACATATATGATGGTGCTATTGACGTGACTTGTTATTTCCTCTTCCCTAACTTAATGCTTGTTCTTGGCCGCCCAGTGGAAGCGGTGGTGGCAGCAGCAAGTGCTGGGTCTTGAGGGCATTTGCTGGGGTGGGAGGTGAGGTGGGGAAGGCTGGGTAGAAGCTCCTTTCTCAGGGTTTAAACTTTTTAAAATTGGGGGCGGTACTTCTGTCCCATTAAAGCTTTTTGTATAAAACTCACTGGTGTTTCATGAGTTTCACTGGCCTCCTTTTTTCCCTTCAAAAAAAAATTCAGCCACCCCTACAATGACACACTTGTTCATATGATCATACTGACATCATGGGCTCAGGGAACTTCCTGTTTGCTGTCTTGTGAACTCAGTGTGAGTCTTGGGTGGTGAGTTGGGAGGGAGTGGTGGGACTGCTCTTCAGGGTGTTGAGTGGCTCTGTTGGATGAGTGAAGTGTGGGTGTGGAGTTGTTAGGGTTTTATGAGTCATTTAACCTAGAAAGGGAAGTGGTTCCTAGCTAGATTCCTCATTAGTGATGGTCAGGAAATAGGGGTTTGGAATTCCATTCCCTTGTCCATCTCAGCCACAGATTAGACTGGTCATCTAGGTTTGAGTCACTGGAAGAAGGTGGGGAAAGATGGTGGGGGGGGAGAAGAAGAAGAGAGAAGTACTAGAAATATATATATATATATATCTTGAATTGAAAAGGATGTCACCATTCCCACATAACTATAGTTCCTAGTTCCTGTTTCTATAGGTGTTGGGAGTTTATAAAACATAAAGGAAACCCCAAACCAGTAATTGTTCGGTTTTCTTTTTGAGGTCCTGGGGTGGCATCGAAAAACATGCTTGTTGATTACTCCCAATCCATTGGTTTTACACCCGATAAAATTGAGGTCCAGAGCAGTGAGTCTTGTCACAAGATCCTTGATACTCAGTTTAGGTCTCTCCTATTTCTTTATATTAAGCAATTAAACCGTCTTCCTACAAACATCTTCTGTTAATCTCCTCTTTCCTTGAACAAGGTTTGCTTGAATTTTTTTTGTCGTTGTTTAAACCAGCCTTAGGGTTTTTTTTTTGTAATATTGCCAAACTGAAAATAAAAAGATCTTTTCAATTCAAGCTCCTGTTTGCGGGCCTTGTTCTTTGCTCTCCCTGGGGAGGGAGAGTTAATGGGAGCAGGTAGTGGGGCTCACTCACATAGCTCTCCTGGCTGCTTGCCCTGAGGAACTGGTTGGGCAGGATTACCAAGAGGGAGGGAGAGGACCGGGCTACTTACCCTGGGGGGTGACGGGAGCCTGTAGTCTGAAGCCCTGGCGGTTCCCACACATGTATTCACTACTCTCCACTCCCTTTCCTGGAATTCCCTTTTTTTCCCTTTAGGATGATCTGAGTTCTAAAGTGTGCTTCAGCATCTCCCTTAAGTTACAGTGAAATAGTTTCCCTGGGTATTTGGCTGCTTGAAATGGGGCCTCTAAGGGACTGCTTAAAGTCAGGAGAAGAAGGCCAGAGGTCAGATTTAGACAATTATAACTAACTGCAAACAGACTTCACTACAGAATGTAGGGCTCAGCCTGCCTCAGGGTAAAACTCTGGCCGGGGGGAGGGGGGAAAGGAAAGCCATATTTCAACCTCTCCTTTGGCTCTGGACTCCCTGTGGAGCTGAAGCTCAATACGGGGGGGGGAGGGGTTATATAGGAGACTGGACCCCAAGGTCAGCTAGTTAGCTTTCCTTCACTGCCCTCAGCTCCATCTGTGGGAGGCCAGGGGCGGCGCCCGCACCGCCAGCACCACCGCAGGTGGGGTTGAGCTTAGGTAGCGGTGGGAAGGGGGGTGGGGAGGAAGGAGACAGCCGGGGTAGTTGGCGAATTGCCAAAACCGATCTAAGTCTAGGTCTGCACTCGGGGATCCTATCTGGTCTCGGCCCGCCCTCGTTGTGCGTGGTAAAGCCGGCCCCTTTGGTGACCCAAGAGCAGGAAGAGCAGGGCAGGAGGGTGAGGGAGCCTCTTTCCTCTCATACCTCATTCTTCACTTCCGCCCCCTCCCCTGAGCTCTACCGGATAGCATCTGGAGTCTTCCCCCCTCCCCCTCCGGTAACAGGCTTCCTGTGGTGCTCCCAGTTTCTCAGCCACCTTCCCTTTGCCTTTGGGAGTGTTGGTGGCGGGGGGAAGGGAAGAGCTCTGTTTCGAGCCCTCCATCCATTTCAGCCTTGCTCAAGGAACCCTGCTGGTCGCCCCCACATATTCTTGTGCAGAGAAGTAGGGCTGGGAATGGAGCGGGGGAGGGGGGAAGTCAGAAGGATTCCTGAGATTTTAGTGCTGGCCCCCCTCCTTTAGTTTCTAAGGCGGAGACGCGGGTGATTTCCATCGCTGGTTTTTGTCGGTTCTAGTGCTAGGCACCTTGGGGGGGGGAGGTCAGCAGAGGCAAGCAAATGAACCCCCTCCCTTCAATCCCTGCCTCCCCCGGCAGTTCGGGAAACTCCAAGCTCGAGGGGGCGGAGAAAAGGTGCGTGGGCGGGCTAGGCCGCACATTTCCGGGGATGAGGGACGTGGAGGCGGAGGGGCAACTCTCCAGCTAAAAGGCCCCCAGTTTTTCACCTGTGGCTTCATATCCTGTAGCGGGAATCAAGTACTTTCCTTCCGGGGGAAGGAAACATGCTCTGCCAGCCATGCCCAGGGCTGGGTTTTCTTTCCCCCAGACTCGGGAGTCAGGTGCCCTTCCGGTTCTTCCACCAGGGCTGCTGTCTGGGCCTAGATGCAGCTCTAGACGCCCCTATCTCCACACGCTCTAGCTCCTTCCGTACAGAGGACGCTCGGGCTCCGAGGATTTCTCCAACTGTGATGTTCGCCACCTTTCTGAGTTAGTGGAGATGGCCATCCTGGAGGCTATATGGCACTGGAAGGGCTGGAAGATAATTCTTAGAAGTGATCGGGCTGAGGAAAAGAGAATGAGTTAGCAACCAGTTGCAGGACAAGGAGATGGAATGAATAACCGTGCTTCTAAAGAGCTTCTAAAGAACTTCTGAATGTATTCCAGACATTGCCTTCAGTTCCCCTCTAAAGAGACTGGGGGGTGGGGCGGGGAGGTAGAGGCTACAGACTTCTCTTTACCATAACAAACCCTGAGAGGCTGCCTCTTTAAGCCCAAATTGCTGACCCTTGAGTTGTGTCCAGAAAGACACGACGAAAGAGAATGAGCAAAGAGATTAATGGGTTGGGGTCAGTTTAAATGCTCTCCCAGCCCAGGTCCAAGGCACCTTTGCTTCAGGCGCAAGTGGAGACAGTGCCTAGCCCCAAGCCTGGCGAGCTTCTAGGCGTTTGGGGAAGAATGAGCTCTGGACGACAACTCCCTCAAACTATCTTTGCCGGTTTTCAATACCCGGGGCCCTTTCCTCCGGTCGGAAGACAAGTCTCCTACACCCTGGTCCCAGACAAGGAAAAGGGGCTTGGGCGAGAAAAAGAGTTTGGGGAATTCCGAGGGTGCATACTCCCAGGGCAGTAAGAGTTAGCGAATTAGGGTGAGGAGTGGGTGGGGTTTAAAATATGTAAATAATTCCGGGAGGGTGGAAATAAGAGTATGCAAATGAATCGCTGGTAAGGGAGGGGGTGGAGGCATGGCCAATGAGACCTGAATGAGCAGGGTCTTCTAAGTGGTGGGGGGCAGAGAGAGGCCGCTTATTTCCTAGTGTCTGTTTGGTTTGCTATATGGAAGGATCCTGGGCTAACAAGACGTAAGTGGGAAGTGACAAGAAAAGCGCAAAAGAAAAAAGTAAAAAGAACCAAACTTTCTAGTAGCCTTGGGGCAGAGCAGACCAATACTTCCCCACCCCATCCCCAGCGACTTGCGGAGAAGACCCAACCAGGACCCTCAGCGTTGCCCCGACCCCTTCCCCCGTACCCCCTAGGCCGCTCCGGGGTCCTATCCCTGGGGGCTAGGGGGCATGTGTACTCATTCCTAACAGTCTTAAATCAGCGAGTTGGAAGGGATCTCAGGCCAGCTGACCCAATTTCCCTCATTTTACAGAAGAGGAAACTGAGGCCCAGAGATAATGATAGTAGCTAACATATCTATACTGCTTACTATGTGCCAGGGCACTATACTAAGCGCTTTTGATCCTCACAACAACCCTAGGAAGTAGGTGCTAATTACAGAAGAGGAAACTGAGGCCCGGGCACGCTGGTTAAGGAATCGTCAGGGGCGGTATTTGAAAGCTGGTTCTCTAGCTTGAGCCAGTCAGTGCTCTTTTCCCAGTACCACGTTCCTTGAGGCGGCGTACTCCGTTTTTTGGTGTTCTGGGGGAGTGGCCCGGCCATTTTACGCCTGGATAGACCACCCGTGAAGGGGTAGCAAGCCCGGTGGCAGCATCCTGCTGGTGCCCTGAGCTCTAGCTCAGCCCGCGCCTCCGCGCAAAGCGAAGCTTCTTGTCCTGCTCTCGGGCGCGCCCGAGTGTTTTTCCCAGCTCGCGCAAGCGTCTAAACCAATCAATCAATCAATCAATTACCTGCCTAGCACGCACCTCAGCCTCCAGCTGCGCTCGCTGGCGCTTCCCACCTCCCACCCGCAGCCCGCGAGGGGCTAGAGGCCTTAAGCTAAGGAGTCTCAGCAGGGAAGGAGGCGGCCGCTGGGGCCTGTTACCCCCGCGCCCCTCGCTAGGCTCTGTCCCTCGGGGCCCTGTGGCCCGAGGAAAGGGGAGGGTAAAAAGGTAAAGGGGGCGGGGTGGGCTGGCGGCTTGAGGGCTCCTCTCCCGCCTCCGCCACCACTCGGGCTGCCAACGCTGCCGAGCCCGCCTCCCGCCTCGTTCTGCGTCCTCTCCCCTCCCCCTCCTCCCCTCATTCCTTCTCTACCTCTTCTTCCCCCTCCTCCTTCCCTCCTCCCTCCGCCTCCCCTTTCCCCTCTTGCCCCACCTCCCTAAATTCCCACCATTGGTCTCCCCCTCCCTCCCGCCCACACCTTTTCCATGTCCCCCTTTTTTCCCTCTCTCCCCTCTTTCCTCCCTCCTCTCCGCCCTGACATTTTACTGCGGGCCCCTTCCTGCAGCCAGCCCGCAGCCTCCGGATCGAAAGCACAACTAGCACATTGCTGGCACTCCGTAAATGTTAAAATAATCACCACGGTAATTGTCTGCCTTCCCCCCGGCCGAGGCTGAGGCTAGCCGCACCCCCTTCCCCTTCTCCTCTAGTCCAACTGGCATCAATTAATCCCCTCCTCTGCGCTTACATCCTACACCCACA